TTTCTGCCATAAGGGTGGTGTCATCTGCATATCTGAGGTTATTGATATTTCTCTCGGCAATCCTGATTCCAGCTTGTGCTTCAGCACTTCATCAGCTCAGTGTTTCTCATGATGTACACTGCATACAAGTTAAATAAGCAGGGTGACAATGTACTCCTTTTCCTATTTGGAACCAGTCTGTTGTTCCATGTCCAGTTCTAACTGTTGCTTCCTGACCTGCATACAGGTTTCTCAAGAGGCAGGTCAGATGGTCTGGTATTCTCATCTCTTGAAGAGTTTTCCACAGTTTATTTTGATCCACACAGTCAAAGGCTTTGGCATAGTCAATAAAGCAGAAGTAGATGTTTTTCTTGCTTTTTCAATGATCCAGCGGGTGTTGGCAATTTGATCTCTGGTTCCTCTGCCTTTTCTAAAACCAGCTTGAACATCTGGAAGTTCACGGTTCATGTATTGCTGAAGCCTGGCTTGGAGAATTTTGAGCATTACTTTACTAGCATGTGAGATGAGTGCAATTGTGCGGTAGTTTGAGCATTCTTTGGCATTGCCTTTCTTTGGGATTGGAATGAAAACTGACCTTTTCCAGTCCTGTGGCCACTGCTGAGCTTTCTGCCATTGGAGTGATATCATCTGCATATCTCAGGATATTCACAAGGATAAAGGCTTGTGCTTTTATATATCAGTGGTCATTTTCTTAGGCACCCAGTGAGAGTTTGCCTAAATATGTTCTATTAGCACTACTGAAACAATTGACTTGTTTACTTTATTGTAAGTAATAAAAGAAAAGTATGGCTAAATTAAAGTTTATAGAGCTTTGATTAATGATGCCTTTCTTTCCTTAAAACCTATACTCTTACTAGTCAGGCCCACAAGATGGATAAAAGAAAAACCCTATCAGCTAAATCCACTAAAATGGTTCATCTGTTTGGCAAACCACACACAGAGAGAGTTTTTTTTACAGCAAGTGTTCACTTGAACACATCTCAGCCTCGGAGATACAGTTTAGGATAGTGATCATCAAGTAGTAAGATTTAAGAAGTATCTCCTATTTCATTAGTATGAAAAGACAGTTTGGCATTTGGGTCACCATAGCTTAGAGTTATCAACCCGCAGACAATTAAAATCTGCAGTAATCACAGTCGGATGTAGAAATGGAACCAGTCATCAGATATGACCTGCTAATTTTCCTTTCCATTTAAAGGCAAATATCACTAGGTAGAACTAGGTGTGTGGTGAGCCATGAGGTTTTATATGTCCCTAGATTGTTGGCTCAACCACAAGATTGTCAGAAGCTCACGAATGGCATCTCTATTTAGTTGCAAATGTTTTCTGCTCTAGCTTCTGAAATGAAGCTATTTGGGTCATCCTCAGGGGAAGTCAGCTGGAGGCTGCCCAGAAAGAGCAGGAGGAGGACAGGAAGGGCCGGGTGGCGCCATCACAGCTCGGCCAGCCTTGGCCACCTCCTTCCTTAGAAGCACCTTCCCTGAGACAAGAAGCACTGAGCTGTGTGCTGACATGATGTCCTGAGGGCAGCCCCTCCTGGCTGGGGGGGTGTGTTGGGGGGGTGCTGATGCCCCTGCCTCCTGGTATGGGGTCTGCCGCAGTGGGTGAGGATTGCAGCGATGAAGTCACCCAGTTTTCCAGGAGGCCCCAGGCACCCCTGGAAGATACTGTATGGCTTCAGACTATGGGAGTGCATGTGCTTGTCTTTACCCGGCCTGTGCTGCCCACTTGGAGGGCCTTTTAGACAACCTGAAACACAGACCTACTTTCTTCCTGAGATGTTTTCACACAGAAGGGCCGAGCCCCTACCAGTGTACAGACACTTGACATGATTTTTTACACAGATGGCCAACCTGCCCCCCTCCCCAAAACTATGAGCTAATCAGACTGCAGAGAAACATGGTTCATAAATCCATTGTGTAGGCCTCCAGTGACTGCAGACTCCCCAGACGACCACGTATCGTATTTCCCCGCCTAATTGCAGATCCCTCTAATCACATCTATTACAGCTTTCATGTTAGGCTGTGCATTCTTTCAAGGAGGAAATGGCTGTCAATGACTCAAGAACTATTGATGGGCCTTATATTTTATGATGGATAATGTCAGAGTTACAGGAAGGTATAATACACGGGGGTGGGGAGGTCCTCAAGGGCTTGTCACAATCATTTTCTGCATGTCTCAGGGACACTAAACTGTTGCTTTTATAAAAACTGCCCTCCCATCAATTTTTCTCCATTCTGGTAAAGCAACCCAAGACTACCCTGAAACAGCATAATTAAAACATATGACACCACTTTGCTAGTGGATAGTTAGTGGTTATGTTTTTTTAAGAGACACTGCTTTATATTTTTCTCTGACTATAAAGTAATATATTTTCATCATTAAAGAAGCTTTGTGTGCTTAGTCACATCTGACTCTTTGCATCCCCATGGACTGTAGCTCACCAGGTTCCTCTGTCCATGGGATTTTCCAAGGCAAGAAGAAACTGGAGCAGGTTGCCATTTCCTACTCCAGGGGCTCTCCCTGACTCAGGGATTGAACCTGCATCTCTTGCGTCTGCTGCATTGGCAGGTGGATTCTTTATCACTGTGCCACCTGGGAAGCTTACAGACCATCTATTAAAAGATGATATGCACTAGCCACCTAGACAGCCACCCACAAAATATCTCCACCCAGTTTCCACTCATGTGGATGAGTGCAAATTTAGTTCAGTTACCACTTTATCACAGTAGCCCAGACGTAGGTTAAGTGCTTTATTGGAGACACCCCCCAGTCGCTATGTCTTGTAAGTACTGTTACTGTTCCCTGTGTCACGGGAGGACACAGTAGGGGCAGGCAGAGGCTACAGTTAGAACGTGGAATTGGAATCCAAGGTTCTGATTGGTGTGCTAAGCTCTCGACCTACCTGTTGTATTAGTTTTTAAAAATATCCCAATTCATTAAGAACGATTAACAAACAAGATTTTTTGTCACTTTAAAAAAGAGTTGCACCTTTTATCTTCAGTGTCTTTTTTGCTTCCACTTTTTAATGGTGTTCCTTCCTTTTATCAGACTATTTTTGGAGTGGCTGCTGAATGCTTTCGTCTCCTTGAAATGCCGTCTTTTTTCTTGGTGCCCCAACTCTTGAGGACTCTCAGATAACTTATCGGTTGAATTTCTTAAATAATACGTGCAAGTAGGAACGACAGGGTCATGCAACTCACAGCAATGTCTTTATCCAGGATGGTTGTGAATGCAGAATAACATCAGGATTCACTTCTCAGAGATGGTAAGTTTCCCTTCCTACAAGCAGGTATCCTGGATTGAGCGCTGATGGCCTAATTAGCCTTCGACCTTCTTGTAGCTTCTTGTAGAGTACTATAGATTGATTCAAAGTAGGAAGTAGGTTTTATTGTCCCTTAGGGTGCCTGGCTCTGCTTGCCTGTCTCTATTCACTTCCCTAAATGGCTTCTCTCCAGTGAAAATGGAAAAGGCCATCAGAAAATGCCCCGTCTGCTTTTATGTTTTCCTCTTTGGAAGGAACTGGAATCCTTTGCTAGCTCATTTTCAAACTTAGATGATGTTCAGGAAACACCATATTCTAGTGTGGGACCAAGTAAACAATATTTATATATTGACCAACATTTACACAAAATAATATAGTTAATGTTTATGGAGGACTTACTACGTGCCAGACACCGTATGTGATTGCATTGAGCACTTAACCCTTTTTATGTATTATTTGGCTTTGCCATGTCTTTGTTGCAGCACATGGGATCTTCAGTCTTCATGGAGGCATGCAGGATATTTAGTTGTGGCATGTGGCATCTAGTTCCCTGACTAGGGATTGAACCCGAGCCCCCTGCATTGGGAGCTTGGACTCTTAGCCACTAGACTACCAGCAAAATCCCAGCACTGGGACTGGCTCTTTAAGTTAGATATTACAATGGTTTCGGTGACAAGATAGGGTTAGATTTAACCCCTAAACACTCCAGCACCTCACAACTTTTGCCATTCTGCTCTTTTTTTAATCCCACTGAGCTAAGCAAATCTTCTTTGGGCCGCAGGTTCTTGACCTTGAAACACAGAGGTGTTGAAATACAGAATAGTTGGTTTTGAAGGTCTCTTCCACCCTCAGCCTTTCCTAAGGGCATGAATCTACTTAGGGCACCACCTCAAGGCTGGAAACCATCTCTTCTCCTCTTACACTTCATCATGACACTCGCCACCTTTGTCCTCTGGCCAACCTTCATATTCACCATGACAGTGCTTCAGCTAAAGGACACCAGAGCTGCACAGAGAGTTCCCACAAGAAAAGCCGCAGAGGTCCTTATGCACAAAAGGCTTGGACACCGAGGGTCTGGACAGAGCCAGGCGGTTCCTGCTGGGTCCCAGGCCCTGCCAAGCACCTGCAGAGGCAGCCGGGTTCCTGTCTTTCTGACGGTTCACGGCCTGAGAACCAGATGTGAACAGGTTATAACTTATTCATGACTAGAATCTAAAATAGCTTGTTATAACTAATTCACAGCACCACGTGAGTACTGGGTGTGCTATTTTTTTTTTTTTCAGATTCTAAAATTAGTACCCTATTTCCACAAGCTTTGTGTCGAGCAAAAAAGATAGGTCTACTTTCGATCACCCAGGAACTAAGAAATGTCCCATTTTTAAATGGCAAGACCCTTCCCTAACAAAGATACTCCATTTCTTTTAGTCTAAGGAGTGTGGTCCAGGGATACTTTAAAATACTGCTCTGGCATGTGAAGAAATTACGGGATGAGGTCATGTTTGAATCAGCACCGTGGCAGCACTTTTTTATTAATGCTCTGTAATTCTTGTTGAGATTCCCCACTTGGCACCCTCGGGAAGCTGTAGAAAAGTATCCGAAGCTCGTTCGTAATGCGGGAAGGAGTGCAGACATGGAAGAGTGGGCGCAGACGGGTGGGCGGTGGTTTGCCAGGAGCAGTGTAGATTGCAGGACTGGTGTGCAGAGGCCCCGTGCTGGGGTGGAGAGCAGGGCAGACGCTGAGGGTGAGAGGGCAGCAGCATAGGTGTGCCGGGGGAAGCTGAGGGGAGGCAGCTGGCAGGCAGGGCCTCTGGGAACGTGGAGTTGGACCCCAAGAACGTCAGAGGGATATGACACGATTGGGGCTGTGCCTTGAGAGGAGAATGTAGGCAAGATCTGAGTGCCTAGGAGAGACGTCAAAGCAAAAGCAAGGTACCTGATTAAAAGGGGATAAGATGGATCTAGTTCAAGTGCCTCCGCCACTAGAGTCCCAAGGCCGGTTCTGCCTGCTGGTGGCCAAGCCGAGGCACTGCTGGTGGCCCCAGAACAGGCTCCATGCTGACTTGGCCCCCAGAGGGCTCCTGTGAGCCTGGCCTTGGACGAGGAGACAGGGAATGTGGCCCTGGCTCCTGGACTGGGTACAGGCCAAGGATCAGGATGCATGCATCATATGACAGTACCTCATCCTCTCTTCCTGTGCTGCCTGGCTGGTTTACAAAGAAAGGCTGGCTAGGCCCAGAACGCCCTTGCCCAGCTTCCTGGAAACCGTGGCTGGTATTAAGAGCAAGACTCAGGACTTCCCCAGCGGGACAGTGGTTAAGACCCTTCACTACCAAAGCAGGGGGCACGGGGTTCAATCCCTGGTAGGGATCAAGCAGTGTGGCCAAAACAAAAAAAAAGCAGAACTTGTTGGTGAGTTTTTCTGCTGTGTTGGTTGGACAGCAGAGCCTTCTCGGTTGTTGACTGTCTCACCTGAGTGTAGACAGTGGTGAATCCTGCCTGCATGAGCAGTGGTGCTCCAGGCCCATCCTGGTGGTCTGCCAGGGGTGGGGGGAGGCGGTGGACACTGCATCCCTTCCCAGCCAAGATGCTGCTGCGAAGGATAGTGCTCCTTTCCCCCTCGGCCACAGAGCACTGCAAGACACGTGCTTTGTGGAGAGCATCTGAATCCCTGAACGAAATTGAGATCCACACACAGGCCCCGAGGGCGAGTAGTAAGGCTCAGGTGCGGCATTTCTCGAACTGCCCTTTCGCTTGTGGGTAGGAGGTTCCTGGTTTTCCCCAGAGGGGTGTGTGCGAAGTGACATAAGTGATGGGAAAGCACTCTGTGCTCCTGTGACCGGAGACAGTTCCATAAATAAGATCCTAATGTCATCATTTATACAGTAAAGCCCTGAAAGGGAGGAAGGGACATTAGTTTTGAGTTAAGTTGAGAACTGGACGTGAGCTACTGACAGGCCATTTGTCCTCAGGCCAAGACAGAGCAGACCCAGCAAGCTCGGGGTCCTCATGTCTGAGAACCGTCACGGAGAGCATGTCATCACCAGGAGATGATGTTACTGTCCCTCCCCACTGTGGGAGCCATCGCGGCCAGGTGCCCACCTTTATAGAACTCGGCCCTTTTCAAGTGTTAAGTTTTTGAACATGTAGAGCAAACAGTAAATTCACAGAAATTCAATTCCTAGTAAATTTGCCAAAGGGGGGAAAAACATGGATGTGGCCTAACCTCCAAATACAATGAAGGTAACTGGTTCCACAGGTGGGCCCACTCTGAGATGCCCAAGGGGGAAGACGTGGGCGGAGGGCGGGCTTGCCCTCTGACTGCTACCCGGGCCAGAACATAGTCCTCCGCAGCAAGGACCACATCTCCCAGGGGAGAAGAGGGCCCATGTGCAGGCCACGCTGCCTTTGACCAAGCAAATAACTGTAAAATTGCCGACAGCTCCTGGTAACACTGGGAGAAGAAACGGGATTGCCTAGAGACACAAAGCTGCAGTACAAAGAGCCCACAACGTGTAGTATGTGCCCTTTTGACCCAAAAAGTGCAGTGTTTTGCCAACCACGCTTTATGGATATCACCCTCCCATTACTGGCTGACACAGCTGAGGGGGCCTGAGTGCCTTTGCTCAAGCCGGATGCATTATTCATCTGCAGCAGACGCCTGCTTTTTTCCCTTCATCCATCGCGCTGACCCTTTCAAGGAGGGGTCACAAATGCTCCTTCATGTCTCTGAATCCCATAGTGCCTCAGAGATGCTGAATTCACCCTCCCAAGACCGATTCCATCCCTTCCTCCAGACTGTCTGCGTCTCTCAGCTGCGTCTCCTTGATCTAAACAGGATGCTTCTGTAGCTTCATTCATGTCAGCTTCTTGGAAGGATTAAGTCGTTGTGGTGATTCCATGTCATCAGTAGCCAAGGAGATGACATTAAACCATTACCTTCTCTCTTTTTAAATATTTACTTTATATTATTTATTTGGCTGTGCCAGGTCTTAGTTGCGTCATGTCAGATGTTTAGTTGCACCATGTGAACTCTTAGTTGCAGCATGTAGGATCTACTTCCCTGACCAGGGATGGAACCCAGACCCTCTGCACTGAGAGCTCAGAGTCTTAGCCACTGTACCACCAGGGCAGTCCCAAGCCATCACCCTCTTTAAAGCAGCAGCAACTCTCTATTCTCCGGAAGCCAGTGATACTGTTTACCTCTTTGCGCTGATGAGAAAATAATGTAATGACAGTAATTCGGATCCCATTTGGAGATGAGACTTGTCTCCTTGGACCCAAGTGAACCTGTCTCTCTCACGGACATCCAACAACCAGAGGATACCCTGCCCAGATGGTATCTCCTCCTCTGGGCCTTTTAAGTCAGTGTAGATTGTGGAAGAAGAGACACCAGCATCCAGATGGAGTATCACAGGGCTGAAAAACCCTTGTCCTCCAACTGTCAGAGCTCCAAACAGAGCCAGCTTTGCCCGTCATATACTCACATTCCCCTGTGTGTCTTGTGTTCCTTCTTCTCCAGACTGCCTGCCCACGTGAATGGGAAGCTTCGAGGCCACACTTTTATTTCTGTAGTTATGGTGATGAATTAATGAATCAGATTTAGTGCAGTTCAAGTCGCTGACTCGAAGGCAGCTAGAATGCGAATGCTTATTTAAATCATTAAATTTGTTACAAGTAGAACGTGTTTTAATATTTATTTACTTGACTGCCTCAGGTCTTAGTTGCGGCACACAGATCTTTGTTGTGGCTCGGGCTGCTCTAGTTGTGGCACAGGTTTAGTTGCCCCGTGGCATGTGGGATTCTTAGTTCCCGGACCAGGGACTGAACCAGTCGCTTCAGTCATGTCTGACTCTTTTGCTACCCCATGGACTGTAGCCCGGCAGGCTCCTCTTGTCCATAGGGTTCTTCAAGCAAGAATACTGGAGTGGGCAGCCATGCCCGCCTCCAGAGGATCTTCCTGGCCCAGGGATCAAACCCGGGTCTCCTGCATTGCAGGCAGATCCTTTACCACTTGAGCTACCAGGGAAGCCCGAGATTGAACCCGAGTCCCCTGCATTGGAAAGCAGATTCTTAACCACTGGGACCACTGGCGACATCCCCACAAGTAAAACTGAACCCCAGGCTGTGATGTGGAAAAGGGGTGCCTGCAGAGCCCACATTTCCACTTCGCTCCCTGCTCCTGATGGTACGTCACAGAAGCACACATTTATTTCTGGGCACCTCATTTGTACCATCAGCGCTGGGCAAAACCGTTTTGCAATTTTAGTATATCATGCTTTCTTTTCCCAAGGCACGCAAAGTCAGAAGCTCATGGAAACAGAGGCTCTTCAGCCCCAAAGGCCTCGAGCTCCCCTGGTGCAGCACCCACGCTCGACAGCTGGCGCTGGGGCCCGCTGGTTTAGCAAGTGCTGACAGCTGGCCTCTTGGCTGCCAGGCTCCGAGCAAGGGCTTGGGATCCAGCGGTGACCCAACCTGCAGTCTGTGCCTGGAGGCAGGAGATAGCTGGCTAGTTTTGGGCTGGCGGTGAAGGGCCGGAGGCGTGACCTCGCCCCGCCTGGGGCCAGGGCAGAAGTGAACTTGAGCCAAGAAGTAAAGACATGCAGGCCTCAGCTCATGGGGAACGGTGGGCTAAAGGGAGGACACAAGAGGAGGCTTTTGGGCAGAGGAACCCAAGACAAGCCCCCAGGGTGCAGAGGCCAAGGCCCTGGAGGCTCACTGAGCCACTGGGCGCAGAGACCACAGGGCTGGTCCCGGGGCTTCGTGAACCCACCCCACTCAGAGCCGTGGAAGGTTCTGTTAACATCACTCTGCTCCTCTGTGGGGACAGAGCGGGGGTTCTGTAGCGATCCAGGTGAGGGTGATGTGGCTCAGGCGTGAGACAGAGAGAAGCAAGTGGATTCAAGAACTGTTTTCGAAGTAGGGTCACCAAGATACAGTGGTGGCTGCTCCAGGTGGCAGAGCAGATGGTCAGCAAGGGGGCTTTGGACGCCCGGTCTGTTCTTTACCCGCCTAGACCCACTAAGTTCTGGATAGAATGTAAACGGTTCTTTATCGTCAATGGCAAACCCCTAAAACACAGGCTCTGCTTTTTCCATTAGCCACATTAGCACAGATTTAGGTCTGTCCTTCTAAATTATTTCTGGCTATGCTGCATGTGGGCTTTTAGTTCCCCAACTAGGGATCGAACCTGCCCTTCCTCCATTGGAAGCTCAGTGCCTTAACCACTGGACCAGCAGGCAAGTCCCAGGTCGGTCCTTTTAAAGAGGAGAACAACGCATCTTCCCTGGAATTGCCACGTGCAAAGCCCACTGTAGATCCTAGGAGTGGATGTTCCCAGTGAGATGATGGAGCTGATGCCAGGGTGACAGACACAGGTCTGCTGAGAAGTAAACCTGGGCATTCTGACCGAAAGCTCCAGGAGTGGCCCTGCGTTCGCGTCCGTTTGACGTCAAGGCCGTTCAGCTTTGGGACGCTCTGCAGCCCTTTGTGGCTCACACCCTGGACCTGCCTTGCTCGGACCTGGCGCGTCCTCCTCCCAAGGCCACATCCTGACCACACCATCGGGATCTCAGGCACCATGGGGCTCGAGTTAGAACTAGTGTCTGGCCCGGCGGTCCCGTACAAAAAGCTTGTGGCTGCAGCAGGGAGATAATTCCAGGGGCGACAGAAACCTTCCTTGCTCCCACAGGCAGGCTGCTGTTGGCTCCTCCAGAGGCAGCTCTGGTGGATGGAAACTCCACTCTGGCGTGGCCTGTGGCCAGACCTTAGGTAGAGTTCCAGGCCTCTGGGGAGATCCGATCCTCCTTCCATAGAGATAACTCTCTTATTTATTCAACCCGTTCCTTCTTGCTGGATTTTGAGTTTGTTTCCTGACTCAGTTCTGACTGTAAACTGCAGTGCAATGACTGTCCTTACAGCTCCATCTTCCTCACACAGAGGTTATTATTTCCCTCTGGTGGATTCCTAGAAATGGAATTGCTAAGTCAGAGGGAAGATAAATGCTAAGGCTCCAAGCAACACTTTGCCAGATCACTCCCTGTAACAAGGCACAGTGAACGCTCCCACCCAGAGCTGCATGTTCCGTTTCCTCTTGTGTGTCTGCGTGTGCACTCGGCCTACTCTTCGCGACCCCGTGGACTGTAGCCCGCCAGGCTCGTCTGTCTGTGGGATTCTCCAGGCAAGAATCCCGGAGTGGGTTGCCATTCCCTTCTCCAGGAGATCTTCCCTACCTAGAGTTTGAACCCGCGTCTCCTGCGTTGGCAGGTGGGTTCTTGACCACTGGGCCCCCGGGGAAGCCCCTGAGTTTCCTCCTAGTTACGGCTTTCTCTAGCCAGCTTCTCCCCTGAGTGGCGTGTCTTTCTAGGATGTGCGGGTGAGCATGCTCCTCCCATGCTCTGGTGCATGCTCTGCCCTTCCCTGCTCATCTTCACTTGCCTTTGGAGGGGCCTCCTCTTGTGAATAAAAATGCATGTCCTGGGGTTCTAAATACACCCCATTCTTAGCTCCAGAGTTGGGGTGTAAATGTCACCATGGGACTTAAGAGATAACAGATTGAGCTTGGTGTCACCCATTGAACTGTCACCTCTAGAGCGGACCCTCGAGCCACGCTGCTGCCCTACCACCCACCCACCCACCGGATGCCCCCTGAGAGGTGGTGTTTCCTCTGGGGGTGCTTGCTGGCCCAGCAGACTAGGAAAGAAGCACCATGAGGCTCTGTATTCACAGGGATAATTTATAGACAGATAATCCACATTTCATCCTTAGCATTTTCCAGTGCTATGCAAAGGTGTCTTGAATTACTCTGGTAGCCTTTCCAGAAAGGCCGGCTGACTTCACTGCATCTCTCTAGTTACAGTCAGGCCAAGAGTCTAAGCCCTGAGTGGCGGATGATGGAGGCTGGAAGCTGAGGGGCGGGCAGTAGGGCAGGGTCTGAGTCTGGACTCTAGACTCCTCCTCGTGGCCCTGTGGGATTGTTCTCAGGAAATCAGAAGAAAAGAGAAGGGTCTGCAGGGGGGCTCTTAAGTCTGTGAAGCCCTGGGGGTCTTCCCTCTGAAATGCCCCTTCATCTCCCTCCTCCTCCTGGCCTGGCAGCTCTAGAGGTCACTTCCTCAGCACCTGGCTCTCCTGGGAGGAGGCAGCCAGTGCCTCACCTGCTCAAGGACGTCTTTCAGGAGTGAGTCTGGCCTCAGTCACGGCAGTCGGGGAGCCCGTGGCGAGGCCAGGGTTTGGAATCAGGGAACCTTGTGCATCCAGAGCCGGGCCTCACACTGCCCTCCACCCCACAAAGCCACAGGGCGGGGGGTGGGGGGACAGGCGGCAGGCAGTGTCCTCTTCCTGCCTGTCACCCTGTGGCCTTCCTGCCACCAGGCCCTGTGTCCCCTGCAGGTCCCCTGCATGTCAGCATGGCAGCCACAAACCTGGAGAACCAGTTACACAGCGCACAGAAGAACCTCTTGTTCCTTCAGCGGGAGCACGCCAGCACGCTCAAGGGGCTGCACGCGGAGATCAGGCGGCTGCAGCAACACTGCACAGGTGTGGGGTGGGGGCAGCCAGCTCCCTTCAGGGGCCGGGGCAGGGCGGTGGGGGTGGGGGGCCGTCCCAGGCCTGCCCGCCAGGGCTGCAGAGCCAAACAGAACCTGTCATCAAGACAGTTTCACACTGGCTGCCTCCAGGGCTGTGCCAGGGGAGTGAGAAGGGGGTCACTTCCCTCCTCTGGGGGGTCAACCCTGTCATCGCTGGAGCCCCTCTGAATGCCTTACCTCATCCTCTTTGCCAAGGCCACATGCACCGAGCATAAAGTTGGAAAGCCAGTTCTCAGCTTACTGAGGCTTGAAGGATCCAAGTGCAATGGTTAGAGTTTATTAATACAATGCATCTTGGAGCCAATGACCAAAGTATAACACACAGAGCAAGCTGCTTGGTAATTGTGGATGTTGGGGTACATATAAGGGGAAAGAAGGGTCCCCTCTGAACCCTAGTAAGGACAGTGGCCACTGATGGTCTCTGGTGTCACTTTTGCCTCTAACGCTGGCAATCCCTGCCCTGTCTGGGCAGGACCCTCGGGCTGATCATGGGAATCAGTTCTGCATTTTCAGAGCAGATGAAGGTTTTGAAGGTACAGTAATCATTCACAATGATTGTATATGATCTCCTTTTTAGATTTAACGTATGAGCTGACAGTCAAGAGTTCGGATCAGACAGGTAAGAACTCCCTTCCCCAAATTTGATGCCACTGTTGTCTCCTATTGTGGCAGATGTTGGTGCCATGTCTCCTATTGTGGCAGATGTTGGTGCCACCTGTTTTCACTAATGACACATTTAGAAGAAAACACATTTACTGTGAAGAGTTGCGCGTGTGATCAGAGCTCTCCGAGAGGAGGGCAAGGGCAGTCTGGACTCCCTAGGTGTGACAAGGGGCTGTCAGTGGGGCAAGAAGGGTGCATGCTTTTTTTTTTTTTTGATTGACACATGTATTTAGAATGGGCTTCCCTGGTGGCTCAGATGGTAAAGAATCCACCTGCCATGCCGGAGACCCAAGTTCAATCCCTGGGTTAGGAAGATCCCCTGGAGAAGGGAATGGCTATCCATGCCAATATTCTTGTCTGGAGAATTCCATGAACAGAGGAGCCTGGAGGGCTACAGTCCATGGGGTTGCAACGAGTCAGACACAACTGAAGCGACCAATACTTCATTTAGAATGCCCATTCTCTCTGGGCTTCCCTGGTAGCTCAGTCAGTAAAGAATCTTCCTGCAGTGCAGGAGACCAGTGTTTGATCCCTGGGTCAGGAAGATTCCCTGGCGAAGGAAATGGCAACCCACTCCAGTATCCTTGCTTGGAGAATTTCATGGACAGAAGAGCCTGGCAGGCTGCAGTCCATGGGGTCACAAAGAGTTGGGCATGACTGAGTGACCTTCACTTCACTTCTCTGCTTTTCTGGGTTCTCTGGTTTTTTTACAGTGAGGATGCGTTCCTTCTGTAACCAAGAACGAGATGTGATATAAACCAGAAAGAAGAGGTGGAGCAGGGTTCCATCTGTGTCCAGCAAGTTAGCACAGGACCTGGCACAGCATGTGTGCTCTCTACAGACTGGTTGAAGGAGGGGCCACATTACTGGGTGGCCTCCAGAACAGCCCTGAACGCCTCTCTCTCGACTCTTGTCCCAGAAATACTCCCCCAAAGCCAGAATCTTAAGGAACTTGCAAAGCTAGCAGCCTGCTGGCAGCTAGAGGGGACAGAAGCCAGGGCCTCTATGGCCTGTCCCAAATAGCTGCACCAGAGAACAGATGACGATTTTAAAAGTGCAAAAACCACACTGGAGTCAAGATGGCTTTTTCTAAACAGGCCTTCCCCCAGGGGTTATGGTTCAGGCTCTGAGAGATGCAGAGAGGGGACCCGAAGCAGGGGAAAAGTGGCAGCCTCGCATTGGGTCTTCCCCGAAACTTGAGAGCTTTTGTGCCTTAGACATGGAGAACGTCTACATCTGTCTTTCCAAAACGGGCTTTGAATGGAGCAGACAGATGGCTGTGCTAACAGGGTAATCCTACGCCTTTGGAAAGGTCTAAAGCGTCCCAGGTGGCTCCGCAATAAAGAATCTGCCTGCCAATGCAGTAGACATGGGTAGGATCCCTGGGTCGGCAAGGTCCCCTGGAGGAGGAAATGGCAACCCACTCCAGTATTCTTGCCTGGGAAATCCCATGAAGAGAGGAGCCGGGCGGGCTACAGTCCACAGGGTTGCAAAAAGAGTTGGACAGGACTCAATGATTAAACCACAACCAACCAATACTCTGAAGCTGCCCATTTTAACATCAGCGTTTTTTAATTTGGAGACATCCTTTCATGCACTAAGCCACAGAACTGAACTGGACAGGGCCTCAAAGACCTCCTGATCACCTACCCTTTCCTGGGAGGAGAGGACACTGAAGCGGCATGAGGGGTGTGGGGTCCCGCCTTCCTTGTGGCCTGTGGGTACCACACCCATCTTGGGCAGGCATACCCCTCCCCCATGGGGAGGCGAGGCCGGCCTAGACCTCTGATCCTTGCAGGGAAGTCTCCCTGCCCCCGTTCCGCCCCCACCCCCACCCCCAGCACCTAGCCGCCCTGCCCTTGGGTTCTCACTCTGCCCCCTCGGCTTGTCCATCCAGGGGACGGAGCTTCCAGAAGCAGTGAACTCAAGAAAAGATGTGAAGACCTGGAGGCGCAGCTGAAACTGAAGGAGGAAGAGAACGCGGAGCTGCTGAAGGAGCTGGAGCAGAAGAACGCGATGATCACCGTGCTGGAGAACACCGTCAAGGAGCGCGAGCGCAAGTACCTGGAGGAGCTGAAGGTCAAGAGCCACAAGCTGGGAGTGCTGACCGGCGAGCTGGAGCAACGCGCCGGCGCCGTCGCCTACCTGACCTCGCAGCTGCACGCCGCCAAGAGGAAGCTCCTGAGCTCGGGCGGCGCCTCGGACGGCGGCCCCGCGCTGGCCAGCTACAAGCCGGCGCCGCCCAAGGACAGGCTGCCCGAGACGCCCCGGCGCCGCATGAAGAAGAGCCTCTCGGCCCCGCTGCACCCGGAGTTCGAGGAGGCCTACAGATTCGGGGCCGAGAGCCGGAAACTGCTGCTGCGCGAGCCGGTGGACGCCATGCCAGACCCCACCCCGTTTCTGCTGGCCAGGGAGTCGGCCGAGGTCCACCTGATCAAGGAGCGGCCCCTCGTCATCCCCCCCATCGCCTCGGACCGCAGCGCCGGCGAGCAGCCCAGCCCCGCGCGCGAGAAGCCTCACAAGGCGCACGTGGGCGTGGCGCACCGCATCCACCACGTGGCCCCAGCGCAGGCCCCGCCCGAGGTGGAGACGCTGGCGGTGGACCAGGTGAACGGAGGCAAGGTGGTCAGGAAGCACTCAGGGACGGACAGAACTGTGTGAGCGCCCCCCCCCACCCCCCGCGACCCTCCACCCCGCTGTCGAGGCACTGTGATCCCCACTAGGAAAACACTTCATCCGCACCTCCTCTTTTGCTTTTTTTTTTAAATCCCCATGCATGCCAAATTTATTTCACACTGTCAACAGATTATTCTCCTCCTGCTCCTCCTCTGGCCCTCTGACTTGACACCGAGACACGATCTTGCCCCTGCCGCAGAATCCGTATTTACTAATCGCTGAGGCCAAACACCTGTGTGCCCACTCGCTTGCTTCCAGCCCCGCTCCGCGGAACCTCCGCGCACGCGCGCGCGCACAGCCGGGCCGCAGGCCGCGTTCCTGCTCGACGTTAACGAAATTATCCGATAGTCACACGCCTAATTCTGAAGTCCGAGCAACGCATTTCGGCCTTGACCTCACGCCTTTGGTTTCCGGGGCGGCCTTTCCGGAAAAGCTCTGCGCCCTCCTGGAGACCCCCCTGACACACCCTCCCCGGGGGCGGCACAGATAAGCCGAGCAGTTGTATGTTATGTCACAGGAACTAAATAAGATGACATTACTCCTCATATCACCACCACCTGAATGTGTGTTCATATTTTTTGTTGTTAGTTTTATCCAAAATGTTCAAGATCCCAACAAACTTTATTTTCTAAACCTGCCTTCTTTCTGTTTTGTGTCTTTTATTAAACCACCCCAGGGTGGGCCTGGAGGGGAGGGACAGTGGGAGGGGGAGAAATAGCGCACCCCCACCCACACCCCCACCCGTAACTGCTGCCCAGACAGTGGGCTCACCCAGGGTAGGTCCCGGGGTGGGGTTCACTCCCGGAAAGAGGAGGCCCTGTTAGCTCGCACTACCCAGAGCTAGTCCCTAGAATGTTCTGCGTTTCTGGCAAAAGTCGCTTTTCTGGCCCTGCCCTTGTGTCCTGCTAGCGCTCAGCTCAGACCTGTCCCTCCCATGCCAAGTTAAGCTGCTCTTCACCCCCAGACCGGCCTGGCCAAGGCTCTAGGGGCACAGAAGGAAGGGACGCCCAGGAGCCGCTGGTACTGGAAATTTCTAAATCTGCACCCTCACAAACCCAGGCAGTTGGGGGCAGGAGCTCAGGCAGGGCTTAAACATCAGGCCCACTGGAGGTCTGCAGCACAAGAACTGGTCTGGAGGGTTGGGGAAGGGAGAGGTCCTGGGTGGTTCTGTCCACCCCTGCTCCTCCTCAGCATCATCAGCCCAGGGAAGGGGCCCCTTTTGACCCCACGGGGCAGCCCCGGCCTTCTACCCCACCCCCTAGCACACAGTGCTTGCCTCCAAAGAGGCAGCTGCTGAAATAGACCTGGATTATCAGAAAACCACCTTTGGGGGACTTCCTGGTGGTTCAGTGGCTAAACCTCCCTGCTCCCAATGCAGGGGGCTGGGGTTCGATCCTTGGTCAGGGAACTAAATCCCACATACTGAAACTAAAGATCCTGCATGCTGCAACTAAGACCTGGCACAGCCAAACAAATGACTAAATACTAAAAACAAAAACAAAAAAACCACCTTTGACAATTTACATTAGAATTCTCACTTGTGCCATTGATATGCCAGGCAATTTTGTTGAGAAGGGAAAGAGATTTCCGTCTGAAAAGGGAAAGAGAATTCGACACATCTTAAAAGCCTCTTTTTGATTTTACTTTTTGAATACACAGAATCCTTAAAAAATAGTTTTTTTGAAAAAACCATTCAGGTTAACTTATATAGAAAAAGATGAAAATGGCTGATTTCAAATGAAAGGAAAAAGCAGTGTCAATCTCCCTCCTTCCTCCAGCGGTCCCAAGAAGTGACAGCGGACGATCTAGTCTTCCCTAACTCCCAGCATATCCACCGCTGACCACAGACTTAGAATTCATTGTTGTTTCTTTAGCCAGAGGGTTAATCAGAATTCAGGGTGAGGCACACCCCTTGCAGGACCCAGTGAGAAATGTGCTTCGTGGTAAAGAGATCAGCTTCGAAGACCAAGCCGACCCCCATGGCATTCCTTCTGGTGGAGGTGGTGTAGACAGGCGTCCGGAAGGTGTTCTGCACAGGAAAAAGCGTGTGAGGGCAGAATCGAAAGTGAAATTGAAAGCTGCTCAGTCATGTCCGACTCTTTACGACCCCATGGACTATACAGTCCATAAAATTCTCCAGGCCAGAATACTGGAGTGGATAGCCATTCCCTTCTCCAGGGGATCATCCCAACCCAGGGATCGGACCCAGGTATTCCATATTGCAGGAGGATTCTTCACCAGCTGAGCCAGCAGAAGGGAGCACTAGTCCCAGAGGGTGGGTGGGAGGGCAAAGGCGCATCAAAGAGCTAAGGATGCAGAGGGCTCCCCACCAAGTGCATGAGGCACGCCCAGGCTCTGCAAACACCCTTGAAAAGAGGATAGGCGGCAGGGCAGGATCACCTGCCATCCATACTGAAGGTAACTCCATTCTGATCCAAGGAGTGCCCACAGAATTTCCCAAGAAGGGAGAAGTCACTCCTGAAGCAGGCCTGGACCACAGCCTCCAACCTTGAACCCGTGCCCCTCTGAGGAAGACTCTGCATGCACGCATGCACACGAGTGCATTTCCCGAGGACGGGCTCAAGGGCTTCCCCCAGCCCTGAAAGGTGAAGGGCTCCTGTGCTAAAAGGCAAGACTGTTGGAAACCACCTGGTGTCTAACTCTAGTCAGAGACCAGAAGAGGAGAACCAGGATGGGCATCAGCATTTCACCTGCAGTTTGAGGCGATGGGCTTCGATGGGGATGATCTTCAGGATGGGCAGGTCAACCACCAGCACCTTGGGTTTGCTCTTGATAAGACATCCTCTTTCTATGTCCCAGTCAGCGCCTTCTAGATAGAGTCCTGACACAAAGCATCCTAGAGGCACAGGAAGAGAGCCAGGCTTAGGCAGTTGTTGTTTAGTCCCTCAGTTGTGTCTGACTCTTTTGCAACCCCACAGGCTCCTCTTGCATGGGATTTCCCAGGCAAGAATACTGGAGTGGGTTGCCATTTCCTCCTCCAGGGGATCTTCCCAACCCAGGGATCGAACTCGCGTCTCCTGCATTGGCAGGCGGATTCTTTACCACTGAGCCATGCTGGAAACCCTGGACTCAGGCAGGGGCATGTATAATTCTGCTGTATGGCTCTTAGGGGATGTGCATATCAATGAACAAAATGGTAACTAACCGATTCTCCTTTCCCAGACACAGCCCATGCCTGTTCCCAAAAGACATGGCTGACACTTCTACCTGGCCCACTTTCTCTTCATAGAGGAACAGCTCAGATGCAATGCCCCGGAGACCCCATGACCCTCCCTATGGCCACCATGCCATGGAGGAGGGGTGTTCGTCTCTCCCCAGCGATTTGGTGCCCCAGACTTAGCAGCCTGGGGCCCCCAGAGTCAGCTGGCACCACAGCAATTCCGAGTCCCCCCGAGCCGAAGTGACAGGAAAGCAGGGAGCTGAAGCCTCGCAGAGGAAGTGGCCTCAGGGGAGGAGGACAGTGCATACTTGCCAGGAGTGGAGAAGAGGACGGCCACTTGGCCCAGAGAGGGTGGTGGCCCCAACACCGCCAGTCCCTCTGAGACCTCTCTGGGTCTTCTACAATGGGGATGGAGCATTCCTGAATGTTCACTGTAAATCCCCACTCCCTGAACTATCAGTAGCTCAAGAGGGCTTTTGTGCCCCAACCTTTTTGGCACTAGGGACCAGTTTTGTGGAAGACAATTTTTCCACGGACTGGAAGTCAGGGGCGATGTTTGCAGCAATGGTTTCAGGATGATTCAAACATATTGCATTTCTTGTGCACTTTATTTCTACATCAGCTCTGCCTCAGATCATCAGAAACAGACCCCAGAGGTTGGAGACCACTGTTCTAAGACGTGACTCCCCCAAGAAACAGCAGTTTCCAGCTATAATTTGCAGACTGTGGCCAGTGTCTAAGGGACTTGAAGTTACAGTACAATTAAATGGTTCGCACCTCACCTATCCCACTCTCTGGCTTCCACGCCCCTGGGGTCTCGTGGTTCTGGGAAGCCACCTGGTGATCCAGTTCTTTGAAAGCTCACATTCTAACCCTAGGAGCCCATTTCCCATAGATGAGCCCGGCGAGTGTGGCTCAGCTCTCCCCTGACATCAGCCTGTATCTCAGATGAAAAACCAGACCAGAGGCACCCAGACACACCCTCAGAGATGCCAGGACCCACGCAGACAGCGCACAGACACAGCCAGTGTTTGCAGCAGTCTGACCTTCCAACACTTCCTGGCCCATTCAGGCCCACACTGTGCTCACCTCTTTGGCTCCAGGAGGGAGACCTTACAGGAGAGACTGTGAGTCTACAGGGAGCTGGCCATACCTTGTCCTGCCCGCTCATTCACTTCGTCTGCGTCCTGGAACTTGGTCACTTGGGTGAACAGAGTGGAGCGGTCCAGCGGCCAGCCGTTCCTCCGGCAGGTGGCCTGCACCAGGGCCGTGAGGTAGGACTCTGGGATGTGCAGCCCAGAGAGCCACATCACACTGGGCTCACTCTCGGTGGCCTGGAAAGGGAGGAGGTCAGGTGGTGGGAGCCTGGGGCTGCCATCAAATGCCAGGGTCACAGCTGGCAAAAGAGGCAGTTCACCTTAGAGGAAGAAAGAGGGTGTTGGGGCAGCTGGTGGCCCATTGGGAAAAACAAGCTGGATGGCCAAACTCCAGGTGGAGCAAAGACTTAAATACAAACAATAAACCACACTGAGGCTTTGCATTCTAACTGCAGGGGTCGAGGGTTCAATCCCTGGTCAGGGAACTAGGATCCTATATGCCATGGCACAGCCAAAAACAAAACAAAAATGAATAAATAAATAAATAAACCACAAAAGTACCAAATGAGATCTCCAGCGAATGTTTTCAGAATTATGGAGTGGGGAATGCAAAACTCAGAAGCCATGAAAGAAAAGACTGGTCTTTTTGACTACATTAAAATGTAAAACTCTCCTATGGAAAAAAATACACAAAATCAATAAGCTTGAGGCAAGCTGGGGAGGTATCTGAAACTCCAGCAGAGAAAAAGGGTAAATCCCCTTGATGTACAAAGAGCTCTTAAAAATCTATTTTAAAAGGTGGAAAACTTGCTAAGAATGAAATCCAAATACAAAAAGTCAAGTCACAGAAAAACACGCAAGGCCTGTAAACACGTGAAGGACATTCGGCCTCACCATAATTAAAGGAATACACATTCAAAATCTTGGATATTATTTTTTACCTATGAAGGAGAAAAAGGTCCAAAATATTAAGAACACACCATGTGGCAGAGAGGAGAGGAAATGTTCATTCTTGTACACTGTGGTGTCAAATTCTCTAGGAAACTATCTGACAAGAGCTGTCAGAATTTAAAACGCACACACCCGGATCCAATCCTTCCATTGTACGCAAGGAATATACTAACATGAGTCTCCAAAGGCACATGCAACAGAATGTTGTTTGTACTAGCAAAACCGAAAGCAAACAGACAAAAAAAGACAGGGACTTCCCTGGTGGCCCAGAGGCCAAGACTCTACGCTCCCAACACAAGGGGCCCAGGTTCCATCGCTGGTCAGGGAACTAGATCCCACATGCTGCAACTAAGACCCAGTGCAGCCAAATTTTAGAAGCTGACTTAAAAAAAAAAACTCCAATGATAAC